AATTAAAAAGCAATTAATATTTAAGTCATTCGCTGATATCATTATCTTTTGTTTCACTTTGATACAAAAATAATATAAGATTTAATTTTTATACGACAGACACTTATAAGAAATCTTTTTCTGTTTGTACTATTGATAGATGTTGAGAAAAATTGTTAAAGTATTCTTTTAAGAATATTGAAAGAAAACTATTACTTTCTTCTATATACAAGTATTTTCACATTACGTCCAATTTTTTATCCATTGCTAGCCATCTATTTTTTGACACGCATATATGGAATTTTTGATCGCGACTTCTTGGTGAAGAATGCTACTTGTTTTTTTCACCTTCTTGGGTTTTGTCGTAAAAAAAAATGAGATACTTCCCACGCAAGAAAGCTGGCGGTAAAGCTCGCGCCGAAAAGCGCGGTCGTAGAAACTCGATATTGAGTTTCCTCGCTACGTAACACACGAGAGATGAATTCATGGCGTCGTTTCGAGGCTTCAGTATGCGAATGCAATAAATATTTAATGCACGCGTAATGTACAGAGTGTGTGGCATGGCATACCGTGCCATTTTCATATGGGTTCGTCTTCATATCTTTTTCTCTTTGAAAAATATTTGATGCGATTGGCAGGTTTATCACATATATTCTTATCTCTGTGTATTTATATTCTTATCTCTGTATTTAAAAAACAAAAAATGTAATATTCGAATAAAACAATAATTAAATTTTGCCAGAATTAACAGGTACAAATTTTGCGAGGTGAAAAGACCATGAGGCAAATTCTCGTGAGATATTTCTCTGAAAATTGCATTCGTTTCTCATAATATGTATTGCTCACGCAGAAAACACATTTAGCAATTCCGTGACGATGTCCTTTCCCGTGGAAATAAAAGTATAACGGGGGCGAACCACGATAGTAAATTCGCATTTGTACAGGATATCTTCGCGAGAACATTTTCATAATTTTTATTCAAAATATATTAGTAGCACCTCGAACAAAAATATAACTATCTTCCATAAATGCATACACTCAGTATTCATTTTCAACAACATTATATCCTTAAGTGTACAGCGATGTGAGACTTATTTCTCGTTATTTATAATAAAAATAATGAACAAGTAAGCAATATATTGTATACTCGAGACGAATTCTGATTTTTCAACGAGCTTCAACTTAATTAAATTTCTGAATTTAATCGAGAATAATTACACGAATAACGATTCATTATCCGTAATCAAACATGATGAATATTTACGAATATTTACTTGTAATCAATTTATTTGCTTGACCAGATTAAGCTGCTCCATCATTTCATTGACAGCGATTTCGCCTGGCGAAGCAGACCGTCAGATTGCGTTAATTTTTGACGGATTTGTGAAAAATGGGCGACTTTGAGAGGTTATCAGCCGGTTACGCCAGTACGTGGAATCCATATCAGACCGGCATCAATCACTTTGATTCATGCCTGATATTTTTGGGCGCCCTTCGATTCATCCATAGGATAATCCCGCCGGATATTCTTCGAGAATCTCCCTCTCACTACGAAAACGCGTCGGAGAATTAATGCGCCTTCTTAAAATACAGCTTCATCGTTAAAGGAAAAGAGACGTCCAGTTGGCCAGAATAATAATGAATATTATATTCTGATTTCGTGATGAAAAAACATTCGATTCTCGAATTTGGTGTGTAAACAATCGTTATTAATCTTCCATGACTTTTCATGCATTAATTATAATCGGTACTCTCTTCATAATAAAAATTTTATAGTTTAAAATATGATCTAATTAATTAATTACTATATTTTACAAAGATAATTTCTTATTTTGTCACATGATAATATTTAAAAGATAAAAAGACTATATAAGTAAAATTCTAAAATTATATACGCGCAAGAGAGAGCTTGATTCTCTGCTTTCATTGATGATACAATGAAATTTTCAATCAGCTGCGGTCGATCCTATAAAGTTTCTACAAGATATCATGTACCGTGCACAAAGCAAAGGCTTTACAAACTTCCTAGTAAAACTCATATTCGGTTCGTAAGCTGCTAAAGCTGTTAACTATGTAGAACTATGTATGAGCTATATTGTTGGAATTTTGTCTATGAATATTTTATACCAAGCACGTACCATCATTCGCCTAATCATGCTGATTATAGTATGTTCTTTGAATGTTCATTATGTGTATGTACTTTGCGCTATTCTGACTACTTCTCTTTAAGAAATCTCCTTGAAGATCGATGTTCTTTTACTGTTCATTCATAATAAATTAATTTAGCAAACTGCATGTACTTCCTCTAAGCTAATTATAGTTTCCTCTTTGAATTTACAACCCACGCTGAGCTATAACTTTGCACATAATTTGTCATAATATATCATTAATCGATAGTTCGGTCCTTGAATATATTTACAATGTAATATATATTCACAAGTGTAATTTTAAAAATATAAAATTATCCAGTTATTATTACATGAATGGATTATATTATATCATAGTCGATTCAATTATAGATTATAGTTTATGTTTTCATTCCACGTATTTCATTTGCGTAATATTTGCGAAACTCTAACTAAAGTTTAATATTCTTAACTTTCCGTAGAAAAAATTTCAAACTTACAATTGGAAAGA